GCAAGCAGGCAAGCAGGTAAGCAGGCAAGCAGGCAAGCAGGCAAGCAGGCAAGCAGGCAAGCAGGCAAGCAGGCAGGCAAGCAGGCAAGCAGGCAAGCAAGCAAGCAAGCAACCAAGCAACCAACCAAGCAACCAAGAAACCAACCAAGCAACAAAGCAACCAACCAAGCAACCAACCAAGCAACCAACCAACCAAGCAACCAAGCAAGCAACCAAGCAACCAAGCAAGCAACCAAGCAACCAACCAAGCAACCAAGCAACCAACCAAGCAACCAAGCAACCAACCCACCAACCGACCGACCAACCAACCAACCAACCAACCAATAAATCACAAGCAAAGACACGAAGAAACCATAGGGGATGGAATTTCCTCTATAGAATCGCGGGGGTTGGGTCCCCGAAAAGACCATTTTTTAAGCCAGTTTTTCTTGGCTCATATGGAGCTTGTAAAGTCCTGTCCTTCAAGAGCCTCGATTTTATAGAGAATTGTTGTTCTTTACAAGCTTGATTCTATAGAGGCTTGATGAGGCTTGTAAGTATAGTGAAGGGATTTTGGATGACTGGGGCATACCGATTCTATAGAGAATGATTTCTATGATTTTGGATGTCATGACCCGCAATTCTATAGAGATTGCTTTTTCTTGGCTTGATTCCAATTGGGATTGCTCAAAAGAACCCTGGGGAATGGGTTCTTGAATGAGTCAGGATGACGCATGATGACGCTGGCAAATTTGGAGCATCCTAGCAAGGGAACGCCTTATAATTATGAAATACATTGAAACACTTTGAAAAATCTTAATGCATCCTAATGCAATACATTTCAATTTCATTCAATTTCACTAAGATCCACAAGATGTGCGAACTATGGCTTTTTAGGATTGTAAGAATTTGCTTTGCCATTTTGGCATTTGCTGTGCGAACTATAAAATCAGAGATCATCACAGATCCTTACCTCTCCAATCCTCTCCATAACACCTGCTGTCTTCTCTATAGAATTGTGGTCCTACCAACTGGCAAATCAATACCTTCCTTTGAAATTGGAATTTTATGTTTTGTTGAGACCCATGGCCCTTGATTCTATACAGAAACAGGTTTTTTGAGACCCATGGCCCTTGACTCTAACAGAGAACCAGGTTCAGATTACAACTCGACAACACCTGTTCGGGAGTACCTTGGGACCCGCAATTTTATAGACAAAAACCCTTAATATTCACAACTTTCAACAGCTTTTGACAGACTAATGGCCCTCAATTCTATAGAGCTAAATCTTTGTATTTGGGCTCTTTTCCTATGTTATCCTCAATTTTATAGGGTCAAAAAGTGACCCTCATTGGAGGGGGGTTGGTCCCAGCATTTTAGCACTATAAAATCGCACCCCCCAAGGTACCCACTTAATACCAACCCCGATAAGAAACCCAAACACAACAAAACAACTTCTGGGGCGGGAACTGAACGTGTGGTTGTGTTGGCCAAACATGTCAGGTTAACAGAATACGCATCTAGCGTCTTGCTGACTGACAAATGACTCCTGTGAACGCCGTGTCCAGCATGTTTACTGCTTTGTTTGCTGTGTGCAGTTTGTGATCCAATCATTGGATGGTGCAGGCCATGTGAGATGTGTAGATGTGTAGCTGGCGGTAGATGGCAGGACATATCGGCCAAGGAGCCAAGGAGTGTGATGTTTAATCGCGGAGACCATGCCACTCTGTTTCACAAAGCCTCAGTGTGACTTGGGCTTGGTGGATGAACACATGAAGGAAAATGGCTGGCGAGACAAACCATCGAACACGGAAACGACTTCGGTGGTGAAGACGTGAAGAACGAACATGAGGATGTGGGCAAGGCCGAGCACTCCTGGAGTCCTGGAGCACTCTTCAACATTTTGCCACGCCGTCAAGCTGGCTCTGTAGGTAGTGTTGAATCCCTGGCAGTAATGATGGCTGCAATGGACGTCGCTACCATTTCACCTGCAGCAGCATGCTTGCAGATGGTGAAATACTGTATATTATATGACAGTGGCGTCCTTGCTACTAGTAGCGATGGCCTCCAACCTACTAGCTTCTTGTTACTAGTAGTTATGTATTATACTGATTGAACCTGAGGTTAACAGATCATGATGGCAAGTTTACCGATATAAGCAGCTTTTTGGCTGCTCCGCCCATTATGCTTTGGCCGACTTGAATCACGACGTGCTCAGGTTGGCTCATCCAGGCGTGACGTGCTCCAGACCAAGCCGACCAAGCCACTTCACTCTGCTCCTCCAGCTCGGAGCTTAGAATTCACTTGACTCAAAATAAGTAGGCTGCAGAGTGCATGTTCAGAGGTTACTCTCGCTGTCATTGTCGTCATATATGTCTTTATCTTTCTACTATGTTTGCTGCATCCTACGTGTATAGCAGCTCGCCCTGCTAGGAAGGCGAGACAATATCCTTGACGATGGGTCATGAGGGAAACTTTTAACATAATTGATCAGTCAGTGTGTGCTGACCTCTGTAGGTTGGAACGTCCAGACATATCAACAGAGGCCAGGTGCCAATTCCGTTTGCTTGCCTTCCTTGCGAAAGTTGAGTTTAGTCATCGAGCTTCCATAAATGAAGGGCCCATTGAAGGGTGCCCTGCAATCCTTTAGGCATTGTGGCAGCCTCTGCAGCGATTTTGGTGGCATCCAGCGCGAGGCCCACGATGACACTCCGTGGTAGCAAGATCAACGAGCGTCCAAGTTGGACCACCCTCCAAGCTATTCCAGTGGGGATATATGACAGAAATGACGTACACGAGTCGTGGGAGTACAAAATTCCAGCCCCCATGTTTGATCCAACCCTGCCGGTGCTCGCAACACTGTCCAATGCACTGTGTACTTGCAACAACCCTTGGGCAAGGTCTCCAGAGTGTGAAAAGTTCGTTACGGGCTCAAATGGATCCGAAGAAAGCTATCTGCCCAAAGAACTTGTTGGATCTTGTTAGACCATTCTGTGCTGCACAACATATTCTTGCCACCTGGGACCTGGAGCTGTGATTTGCCAAGCCTTTGCAGATGCTTATTTAGCATCATACTGTAGAGTGGCAAGCTGCCTGTATAATACTTATTAAATCTTATTAATACTACAGCTTCACAATAAAGACTCAATCTTCCTGGATACGCAGGCCAAAGGGCCTGCGCAGCTGCAGACATGCCCATGTCAGAAGAGCTGCTGACTCGCCAGTGGGGTCTTTGAGACAGGTCACATAAGTAATTCTATGCAATATTTGAATGCCATCATTTGATAAGATATTTGAAGTCTGGAAGTTGCCATTTCCGTAACAATCACTGAGCAACTGGATGCAACTGGGCTGGCATCTTCATTCTCAGGTCATCCTTGAAGTGAAGGACGTCAAAGCACAAAGTGCCCCTCAGTTTTTCCTGCTGCTTGCTGCGATGCTAAGGTCTCTCTTGCTTTTTGTGTGACCCAGGTACTGATGAAGACCAGAAGCAAATCCTCAAGGGCCTCAATCTGACTATCAGAGAGGGTGAGGCTGGACCTTTTCAGCAAGACTTCAGTAGACTTATGTTGTCCAACTTGATCTCCACGCAGGGTAGATGTGACAGGGTTATTCAGTTGTGCGGGTGAACCATCATTAATCGTGCCGTGTTCCGTTTGTACTCTATATTCGGTGATTTCCGTCGAGATGTGTATCTGCAGTGAGTGCCGGTAATGTGTTGCATACATGTTGCATATTCAGACTTTAAGCAGACCATTGATGCGTCCTTTCGCCTTTGACATCCCAGATTCTTTGTATGAGTGCATAATAGTGCATATATAGATCCATACAAGTCGACCCATGGGCCTGCGGTGGGCCATGTCCTTCAACCAAATGGCAGGTCCATGCTGTGATGGGGCCAAACGGTCGCTTGGAACTGGAGATGTTTTGCTGCAGAAGTGTATTTAGTGAAATGAAAAACAACCCCATTCTGAACGAGATGTTTCGTCTCAGGCTCTGGGAAGAGTACTTTGGCGAAGGTTCTGATTGGTGACTCAGCATACGAGGCCTTCGATCTATGACGTTCGGCCTGGGGATCTTCTGTGCAACAGCTCACAACAGCTCAGCGCTAGGTGACCACTGGGAGCGCTACGCTGGGAGAGACCGACCTTTTAGAGATGGAACCTCATGTGCGCCCCCTATGGACCAGCGATAAAGCACATGGCCTTTGAGCTTGTCCAGGAGCGCGCCTTGGAAGGCCTTTTCTTGGCATTCCAGTCACCGCCAGCAGTAAGTGGAGTCCAAAACCTATAGCAGCTCATTTCCGCGGTGAAACCGCCTGCACTCATGCTTTTGTTGACGTTTAGGTCAGCAATTTGGACTTCCTCCGAGCTGCATATAATGCGCAGCGTCGTGCTTGGACCACAGCCTAATTCTTGCATGATCTTACAGCTATGCGGGTTATTATGTTATATCGACAGACAGTCAATGTGGATTGTCTAACAAATAGCTCTAGACTCTTGACTGGTCTGGCAGCTTTGCTCAAATGCAAGGGAATGCCATGGGAGAGAAACGTTCACCATTAAAGAAAGCATTAGGATATGTTAATCAAAAAGACTCTGACAATCAAGGATAATCAATGCATGCAAGCAAAAGTAGAAAACGTATCGGATGTTTTTCCATGACTTGTTTGTGTAGATTCCCCTCAACACCAGGAAAACATTTGTCAATTAAAATCGTCATCTGATGCTGAAGCCGACCAATGTCAGCGAGCTCCGGCATACGCCGTCGAAATGCCGCTTAGAGAGCTGAAATGGAAACAATCTGAAAATCCAAGCCAATGTTTGAGTAGGATCACGAGAATCATAAGACTGAGAGACACCTTTGCAAAACCGTTGGAACCATGAAGAACTACACGACACTGTACATCTTCAGTCTTTGCCTTTGTTCGATCGCAAAGACTGCTTTGCTTCAGGTCCCTTCAGCCGCTGACCCCGAGACATTTCCCACATCCAGTGCTCTGGAGACGCTCAAGCGATTCGATGTTTACAACAAGGCCAGAGCGGACTGCTTTGCCCCTTGACATTGGCCTTGTGCAGGATCTGAGGGTGTCGATCCCACCGAGGTCCATGATGACTTTGTCCAGAAACGACAGAGTGGCGGAGCTGTCACCTTGGTCACTGCCGCCATCTTGGCAATGCTTCTCTACTGATTCTTGGTACGCACAAAGGATACAAAGGGCCCCGGGCAGTGTCCATTTTGTGGCGATGCCGTTGTCACCAAGGCCTAGAAATGTATCGCAGTTGAGATTTTGTGCATTGATTGCAGTCGTGATGTTTGCTTCCCATGAAAATTACAACCCAGGTGAAGTTTATGAATTCTTCTCTGTGGAGATTTTGCACAGTATCACAGTGCCTTCCAGCACTTGAGAAAACACACTGAAACACTCTTTATGATGAAATATCATGAAATCATACAAGATCATACATCACATCCATAGACATCCCGATACTGGAGAACCAACAAGGGATCCGATACTCGAGTGATCTGTTGTGTGACTTCTCGTCTGAGTTCGGCTTCTCAGGTTGACACCTCAATCGATCGGAAGCTGCCGATTTCTTTAGACATGACCTTTCCTCACTTGCGGTGTTCCGAGGTGCGCTGGGGGTGGTGAGTTGCAAAAATCAGATTCCTAATGAGGAAATATAACGTTCGTTTGTTTGGTGTTTCGCAGAAAGAAAGCCGAGTAAGCTCAAAACCTGAACCAAGAGGGAGAGCCAGGGAGAAGAGTACAACAACGGACATCTCGCTCGCTGTTTCCAGAATGTCTACCAAAGATTCGCGGCTTGCGAAGGTGTCAGTGGACACAGTGGATTCCGCCGGGGATACTCAGGCCACTTGGATGGAATTTGAAAATACCAAAATTGGAAATTTATGCGGCCCAGCTGCAACCTTAGGCCAGTGAGCAAAGTAGCTCAAGTTCGGAGCTCCTGCCAGGTGGATGCTCATGGTGGTCTTCAGATGCACAACTTAGATGCAGCGGGGAAAATGTCCCAAGGTGCCCTAGCATGGCGTGGCTATGCGTGGCTCATGATAGCTTGCACTTTGGAGGTAGCTGATACCACGTTGGGCGTCACCAGTTTCGCATTTCCTGACCAGGTGACCCCGTTGCCGGGCCTGGAGACTGTTGGTCTTGTATGGAAGCTGCAGATGCGGATCACAAGCGTTTTGGCACAATTGTTATATAGAATATGTATACATATATATATATATGTATACTGTAGATTATATATATACATTGACTTGAGACACAACAGGACACCAGATTTTAGACCATGTCCAACAAAGCTATGCTATGCAATCTGGTGGGATAATACTGGAGTTGTCCACTCCAGCATACCTGCATCACTTGAAAGGTGTGGTTTTCCGACATTGCAAGAGGCTAAGCCAAGAGCCTCATTCACGCAGACATGTTATGCTTGACAGCGTCGTCAAATCGTCGTTTCCCTGTTCGTAGGCCGTGAACTTGGGAGGTTCTCAGTTTTGCAAAAACGTTCCTCTTCACTCAAATTAAACCGGTATGCGTGCAAACGCCACATCAGAGCATTTGTGTTGTTGTTTTGTTGTTTTTCTATGTGCAACAGTTTCTGGAAGGTGTATTCCATACAAAGCTTTGGCAGAAATGCACACACACACACACACATACCGGCACGCATTGGTCAAACCATTTCCTAGTCATCTCCAATTCTCCAAGTGTTATATAAACGCAGTTTTCATGGTTCACTTCATCACTGCCCTGGGATACGACACATCACAACCTGTACGAGCACTCTTGAGCCTGGAGTTTCAGATGTCCATGTTCGCAGCAGCATTGTTTCCAAGGTGCTGCAATAGCTGCCAGGAGTTGAAAAAATGCGTATAACGACAAGGCCTAGCTCACCACAAACTTGGCGACTGCATATTTGCACAGACTTACGCCGTTGCTCATCACATCTCATGCTTAATAATTTGCAGTTTGCGTAGATCAGAGGTTAGATCGGTTAGATGCTTGGATCAAACAACTCATATAGATTAATGTGGAAACCGGGTGGGACAGACCTGAGCTCATGAAAAGAGACTTGAAATCTGACTCCAGAGTTTGGCTCCACCATCAAAATGTTTGTGTTCTTTACTTTCCAGATGTAGAGGGTCGATCCGGGGGCAGCGGTAAACTCAGTGCCGCTGGCAGGGCGTGCCATATTTCCACATTCTGGACTCTGCGATGCAGTGCAGAAGTTCTATCGGGTGCAAGATCAAGGGCAAGGTCACTGTAAACAAGGCTTGGTCAAGCCAAGGCTTGTCCAAATGTATTTATATGTTGGCTTAATCAGGGGTAAGGTGTCAAGAGTCAATACAGGTGATGTTTTGCAAATGTTTTCAATAGGTCCTTTGAACGATGCCCTTGTCGTTCAACGATTTTTCCAATGGATTTGATCCTTGACCCATACCGGACATATCATCGGTTCGCAGCTTCAGAGGTCAGTGGAAACATTCACGTGGCCTTGGGAAAATCTGTTCAACGAGATGGCAAATTGGTTCATGAGTTCAACATCGAAGATATCGGCAGCTTGGACAAATACAACCCAGCTTTAAATCAAGCGGACAGAAGTAATACTTTGGACATTCACTCGAGAATTTGCCGAGCATATTGGTGCATGCATTGACGTTTGTTGGACTGAACAAGCTGCATTCAAGCTGCAAGGTGTTTGTTCTTTCATGGCCAAGCCTTCTCACAAGACTCCTACTGTGGTGTTTGTTTGTTGACCTTTGACATGTTTCAACCCATGGATTGCATGTTGTGGTTGAATAGCAGCAGATGCCAACACAGGTCCTGAAACCAGAATTCTAGAATTGGCCTTTCAGAGGGAAGAAGACCGTCAGTGGCACAAACCTTGAGAAGCCCACACATGCAGAAAAGAGGGCGGCAGTTCCTGTAATTGCTACCTGAATACAACCCCAGGAATATTTGCGCAAAGTGAGGTGATGGCTTCAATACCTCACACTACATTGATTCGATTACTTTCGGAGACTCGTCAAAACAGACCTTTGACAGGAAAGTAGATTATTTGATGTGTCTGCCTTGCTATGTTCAGGAGAATATGTGGAAGGACTTCAGTCTCCACTGGTTGGAACCAGAAAAATAGTCCCAAACCCAGACTTTGCCCATAGTTCTTTTGAGGAAGTGCAAACATGCTGATTGATTCAGGCTGGGGCAGGTTCATGGATGCCTGATCCTTAGCATTTGGTAGGACGACATGCTAGAAAAATACCACTCTTTTGCTGTGGCGTTGAACCTTCATGACTGAAGGTATCACTATTACATCAAGCTTGTTCCAACGGTATACATCAGCCGCTGGGGAACTACCACCTATACCAACCAGTACTCAGTGACTGACAGCAGCTTGTTCTGAACGGAATGCAGCTTGTTCTTTCGGGATTCGGTGAAATCGAATGCCGAGTCACTCCTAGGTGCCAGAAATGTCCAAGTCAAGGAGGGTGAATTGTCTGGCTTGCCGGGCGTCTTCCTGGTCTACGACTTCAGCCCCTTTTTGATGAAGCAAACTGAGTCGGTGAAGCCCTGGTCCTATGTCTTCACATCCATTTGTGCCATCATTGGTGGCGCATTTTCGGTGGCAACACTGGCCAAGTCCTCAAAAACGTCTTTTTCGTTGTTGGGTTGTTACACTTTCAAGCATTAGTGTTGAGACCTTACTGACGGTATTTTGCTTAAACTGTTGATGGTTTTCTCAACCACGTTCAACACCGGTCCGAGGTGGAGATGGCACTAAGCAGTGTTTTGGGTTGCCTGTAGTCGATGGATTTTAGCGCTGCATTCAGCGATTCCGAATGCCAAAACAATGGACAGCAATGACTGGATCCAAGTGCTAATGTTGATGAGACTAGATTAGGAGCAAGATGGATCAAGAGCGAAGTGCTATGGCAAAAAGATCCCTGAAGTGAGCCATTACTTCCGTGCTGATTATGCGCCAGACATTTTGTCATGCCTTTGATGGATGTTGGGATTGGTTTCACTGTCCCAACTTCTCACTGGGCAAAGCCGAATCTGTGCCTGTGTGCGAAACTGCTGTTTATGTCCAGCAAGGCCAAAGAAGAGCCGGAGCTCGATGTGATCGAGTTTTACGGACTCGTGAGCGAAAAGCTGCAGGAACTCTTGACGTTGAGTTGATCGAGTTGTACTTGACAAGAGATGATTGAGAACCCCACTTGCACGGAGGAGCTGAAAATTAACCCTGACTTCCTGAATCGGAATGTGAATGAAGGCAGATGCTTTGGAAACGCATCAGACGTAGTTAAACTATGTTAAACTATGTTAAACTACAATGCTTCTGGTGTGATTCAGTGACTTGTTTGAAGGCTTCAGCGGCGGAGAGCGCAAGAGGAGCTGCTTTTGAATCAGAATAGAAAGTCGTGAACTGATCGGTTTTGATCCACCAGGAATGAGATGCTACAGATGGCAATCTTGCAGCCAAAGTTGGCGATTCTAGATGAGACCCATGGATGCACGAGAGGAGGTATATACATGAAGGCCTGTTCCACTGGTAATGCTGAGTGCAACATGACTGCCGCTGCTCTTGAGTGTTTCAACATGTCCAGGAAAAGCCATCGGCTTGACCAGTATCAAAAGATATCGAAAGAGTGTTTCGCCATGTTTGAACCAACAATGACTTAAGGGCACATTCAAAGGCATGTCATCCAAGACACTGCTTTTGAGTTTTCCTGGTAAAGCACTACGAGATGTCCAAAATAAGATGCCCATAGCCGTGTTGATATATGCTGTAATTATGCAAGAGCTCTTGGATGTCGATGTGCGAACTCTTCCAAACCCTCCAAGAAGATTCCCTGCAGCGTCCATGCTCGAATGAATGTATACCTAAAATACCCTGAACATCCCTAACTCAGAAAACAACTCATATGCAATTCAGGCAACCTTAGGTCCAGAAAGTGCCGTGCAATTTGGAGCGGTGTCACATCTTCGAGGCAAAGGAACTTGATCCAGAAATGAGACCTTTGGAGCAAAACAACTTGAATGGTTTGATCAAGCAAACACCAAGGATAGACTCTGGCTTGGACATTGATGCTCTCAAGGACCTAGCTTGCATGCTTGTCGGTATAAACCCTATGAAGTGTCAGAGCGCATTCAGCAAGTGCAACATTCTTCTGCATTTCTTCATATAAAGTAGTAGTAGTAGTAGTAGTAGTATATAAAGTAGTAGTAGTAGTAGTAGTAGTAGTAGTAGTAGTAGTAGTAGTAG